CTGGAACCTCTGGACCTCCGAAGGTAGGCCGCAGAAACCCCCCAGACGGTGCAGGGCTTGCGAAACGCGCGCAAGCATCCACCTAACTGAATCATGACTGACTGCCCTTGAGCTCCGAGGATCCCTCCACCATCTGGAAGATGCACGCTAGCAAAATAGAAGCCACCCTTGACAAAGCCGTCCACCAACACGTACTGCGAGGATGTAAAAGATGAGAGTGAGCTCCATGGCCCTGGCCTACTCCGACACAACTGCGAACTGAGGCGCCCGCGCCCGACGAAACTCCCCCGAGATCGGTGCGCACTGCTGGTGATAACCTGAGTTCCCACCCTTCGCTCATCATCGATTGGTCCTTCCGCGAGATGCCGTCCTTCAAAACCCTGCGCTCTTATAGGCAGACAGTGGGCGCGTCACGCATCAGAGGATCGGTGACAAGAGACGCAGAGCAAGACCATCCTGACGCATCGGCGGTGACGATGTGCCACCTCGTTCTCGCGCCGGTACTTGGCGCTGCACGCGACCCGCTACAAATTCTGCCCATCTTCAGCTGGAGCAGGAATGCCGACGCCACCAGCTGCTCCTTTGCTCGCACCTGGGCTTTTGCCCTCGACGAGCGGGTGGTTGCCGAGCAGCCTGCGAGCGCGAGCCCGCAACTCCTCCGACGAATCCGCCATGCCCTTGCCGCCGACGATGGGCGGCGCCGCAGGGGCCGCGGCCTCGCCTGCTGGCGCCGCCGTCGCCGCGGCGGCCTCGGGCGCAACGCCTACGGGCGGGGGCTTCTGGCGGCGCCGCTTGCCCTGCAGGCGTTTCTTGAACTCGTCATGCTCCTGCTTGCAATGCCCCGCCTTCTCCCTGAGACCGCCGAGAAAGGTCTGCGCGAGCTGCTTGCTGGCCTCTTTGAGCTGTTCTCGCGCCGCTGCGCCTCGAGACGGTCCTTCTCCTCCACGTCCACAAACTCCGCCAGCCCGAAAAGGTCCTCGCCACACGACAAATTCCATTCCTGCGCCCTGCCCCCCAGCAAGTCGCCCAAGCTGAGATTTGAAGTCTGCTCCGCGGCCGCTTTCGGTGAGGCTGGCACCGCCTCCGCGTGCAATTCCTTGATTGCTTCCTTGTAGATCTCCTCCTGCTTCACAATCTGGCCCTGGTGGGATACTCGCTCCTGCCATTTTCCAAGGTGCTCGTTTCTTTGCCCAGCTCGGTTTCCGATTGCTTGGTGTACCGATGAGCATGATCCGAACGAACTTGGGGCGGGACCTGCTGCTTGTCCTGCACGGCCAGCACCTGCTGGTAGTACTCCACCGTGCCCTGGTTGTGCGCTTTCGTTCCCAACTCCACGAGATGCTTGATCTCGGGGATCGTGAGCTCTGGAACGGGCTCGACGCCTGCTGCAACCAGCCCGACAAGGAGGGGAACGCCCACGAAGGCGCCAGCACCGCCAGCATCACCACGGCCGCCAAGACCTAGAAGGGGTCTCGATGTCCTTCCATTTGCCCTGTTGTTTCTGCTTCTTAGGCTTCCCCGTCTTCCAGGTGGAAGTGGCAATGCTTACACCATGCCTCCGACATGGGCGTCTTCCCACAGCCGCACTATCCACATTTCCAGACGGCCGCGTCATGCCAGGCACCTGACATCTCGTGGCACGGGAAACTCGCTTCGAAAGATTCGAAAGGTAACTCGTACTTGTATGACCCTCATCCTGGGCAGGCAATATGATCGAAGGTCGTGCGGGTCCCTCGACCACCTTGAGCCCCGACCCCAGGGATGGCGAAGGCCCCAGGCATCCTTCTCCTCCTCCTCCTCCTCCTCCTCCTCCTCCCCCTCCTCCTCATCATCATTATCCTCCTCCTCCTCCTCCTCGTCCTCCTCCTCGACCTCCTCCTCCTCCTCCTCCTCCTCCTCCCCTCCTCCTCCTCCTCCTCCTCCTCCTCCTCCTCCTCCTCCCCTCCTCCTCCCCCTCCTCCTCCCCCATCACCCCCTCCCCACTCCCCTCCTCCCCGTCCCCCTCCCCCCCCGCCCCTTCCCTGCACCCACCCCGCGCGCTGGCGCCGAATGACCGGCGCGCGGGCTGGGGAACATTAGACGTTCCTGGTGCGTGCAGCCACTCCAGTGGAAGCATGGCCAGGCACATTGCACAGTAGACACAGTCGGTAAGAAGTGCTGCCACAGGAGATCTAGGGGCATGTTTGTCGTCGAGCTTTGAGCTTCCCGGGGTGCCACAAGGTCTCTGCGGGTCCGCAGGGCCATCGGGGGATAAGGAGACGTCCGTGGGGCACCTGCGGGCAGGCTGATCATGCCCGCCATGCACGTCAGAAGGGGGCATGCGGTTCAGAAGCGTTTCGCGGTTGGAGGAGGAGGAGGAGGAGGAGCAGGAGGACGAGGAGGAGGACGAGGAGGGGGAGGATAATGAGGAGGAGGAAGACGGAGAGGAGGAGTGCCCTACATGTCATAATTACGAAGGCCGACGGTCGCATCAAGACTGCGCGACCACCCCCATCTCGTTAACCCCGCTCGGGTCCCTAAGAGGCGCGCCGCGCCGCCTGATGCGGAGGCAGTGCGCACACTCGGGTTGTCAGATCCGTCTTGAAGCCTCGAAGAGAGGCTCGACGACCACTAATAGAGGGAAATTTCCGGAGCTCCGCGCGGATTTCTTGGATCTGCACTGAGTTCCCCTCCTTGGCGCGCAGAGCTTGCCAGGGGATGCAGAAGGCACAGCCAAGGCGGGCAACTCCGATGCGAGGAATGCACGCGGACATCCGAGAATTCATGGCCCGTGGGTATGGCGCCGTGCCTGACGCGTTGCCGGGGATGAGGAGGTCGATGTTCTTCGGGTTGTTGTTGGAGTCGGTCAGACAAATCACAGGGATTCCAATGGCGCTGCACTCCTGGACCTGAGGCACCATGTGCGGGGAGCTGGCCGGAGAGACCGCGTCCAGACAAAGCATGGCTGTCTCCTCCTCTTCCTCCTCCTCCTCCTGCTCTTCACCTTCCCCCGTCACTGTGCAACTTCCTCCTCCTCATCATACTCCTTCGCCTCCTCCTCATCCTCCTCTTCCTCCTCTGGCATTGCTGCGACGGCTGTGCATAGCCAGCGTTTCATGTAGATGCTCACAGTTTCGAACTGAATAGGACTGCCTGGTCGAGCGCAAGGCTCTGGCGAAGTACACTTTCTGTCTACACGGGTAGAAGCTGTCGGCGACGCTGCCGCGCCTCCTCCTCCTCCTCCTCCGCATTCATCTCCATTCTTTTTCCATATGCATAACACCCTTGAGGAAAGAACCCCTGGTGGTCATAAAGTTCAGGGTGGGGGGCTGATAATCCCACCAGCCCTCTGGGCGTGGGTGGTTTAGGTTGTTTCCTCTTCCACCCCTTCTTCCCCTTCGGGGAGGGGCTTACCCCTCCCCCTACCCCCTCCCCTTGCCAATATAACCCAAGTTATACCGAGTTACGTGTACGTTGTCTTGTGTACTAGCACAGCTCAGCAGTTTCAGCATAGCAGGTGTGTTGCAAGCAGTTGTTTCACATGTGTCTGTACCATTGCCATTTGATGTTCAGGGGCCCCTGAGTCAGTTGAAAGGTTGCGTATCTTACGCGTTGATACGATTACCAAGATCATCAGTTCTATCGAACACACCCCGAGGAGACTTCGTGTGCTACCATCGCTTGATATTGGTAACGGAGCCGGAGTTCCACTCTCTCCGGTTCCTCCGCCGCCGCCATGCCAAACAGCGCGCCGCGCGCGCCGCCCCCGGCCAAGCCGCCGCCTGGCGGCTCGCCGGCAGCCTCGCCCGCTGCTCCCGCCGACATCGGCGCGGAGGGCAGCCGCATCCCGCCGAGCAGCGTGGACGGCGGCGAGGCCAACTGCGCAGACTGGAACGGCTGGCACGGCTGGTGGGATCGACAGGAGAGTTCCACCTGGGACGGAGGAGGACGAGGCCTCGACGCAGGCCTGTCTAAGACGGCGCCGAGCGGTTGTCGAGTATTTCGACGTAAGCTGGAGGTCTTCGAGCGATGCTGCAAGAAGCGCGGCACCACCGCTGTCAGTGAGGGAGCGTTTCTGGTCATGAACTCACTGCAGGGTGAGGCCGCGGAGGCTACGGAGGATATCGACCTGAACTTGCTAGAGACGGAGGAGGATTTCAGGCCATTGTTCAAGGTGCTGGACGAGTACTACAAATACGATAACCAGACCGAGCTGCCAGCCCGTATACGGATCTCTTCTTTGCCAAGTTCGCTCGCCAGGACAAGGAGACGATGAAGCTGTACTGCCTACGCCACAAGAGAGAGCTCAGGAAGCTCAAGGAGGTTAGGATGGAGATCCCAGATATGCTGGCGGGCTGGCACCTCCTCACACGAGTGGCTATACTCCCATCGGGCGCCGCCCAGGTTTGGAGTCAATGAGTAGACGGCCTCTGTTGGACTAAGGTGAAGAAAGCCCTGCTCGACACGTGCGGAGCCGAAGCGATACCCGACAAGCGAGATGTGAAACGAGTAGAGAAGATGATAGTCGGTCAGAGCTTGAAGGACGACGTGAACTACACGAACGATTACGAGTGGGAGCGAGGCCTCAACTACGAAGACTCGTACCTGGAGAAGGAAGAGTACGAAGACGACGAAGAGTACGACTACGAGGAGAACGAGGAGGAGGCCGACGTCGCGGAAGACTTCCGCAAGAGATCGAGGAGGCCCAAGTGGCGTGCGACGAGGCCTACCTCAGCTTCGTGGGTGCGAAAAAACAAATAACAAAAATCACCAAATCGAGAGGATTCTACCCAATCGTCGCCCTCGCCCACGAAAACAACTACCAGCGCGACAGCCGCGCAAGACCCACGAGAGCGACGCACGGGCAAAGACAAAGGACGTGGCAAAGGCAAAGGACTCAGCAAAGGATTCGGCCCACCACGACGAGAAGCGCTCAGGCCTCAGAAGGGAGCGTTTGGCAAAGGTGCGCCATCATCAGCTGGGTCGACAGGATCGGGTGCGACCCAGCAGCACGGCCCGAGGATCAAGCGCTTCAGGCACGGAGGCTTCACCGAGCCCGACGAGGAGGCAAGCATGGTGGAGGATGTTGAGACGCTGGGGTATGCTAACTCGATCGAGGAAGTCTTCCTGCTCACCATCGGCAAGGGCATCAGCGATGGAGGCGCTACACGGCCCGTCGTGGGCGACAAAGTGTGGGCGCAGTAGGAGGAACTACTTCGTGCAAGACAGTTGCTACATGAGGTCGAGTACAGCAAGAGTGATCCACGCTTCCGATTCGGAAATGGCAAGACGCTGGAGGCCAAGCAAGCGGTGACACTGACGGTGTGGCCGTTTGGCGTCAAGAAGCAGATCACGATCCATCTCGTCGACGGCTGGACGCCGCTACTGATCGCGCGACCCTGTATGGAGGAGTGGGGCTTGATCCAGGATTACCGAGCTGGAACGTTCATGATGAAGGATCTCCCTGACAAGGGCTGGATGGAGTCCGAGCGTGACGAGAAAGGCCATATAATGATCGACCTGTTGGGTGGAGCTGGGCGCGACGCCGAGGATGCCATGAACCAGGGGGCCCCCACCGACGGCGATGACAGCAGCAGCGACTCGACGGACAAGGACACCGAAGGAGAGCCGGTCAGAGGCGATGATGGTGACGACGGAGACACGTCGACACCTGACCCCGACGCCTTTTACCTTGAGACGCGGACGGGGTACTACGAGATCGGCAGCGACGACGAGACCCTGGCCACGGAGGAGGTCATGGGCCCAGAGCGCCACCTGATGGATGCGGACAACTACTCGGACTTGGTCCTGGCGCTGGAGCAGGCATCGTCCGACATGAAGGACACGCTGCGCGGACCACGCAAGAGGCTGGTCCGGGAGGTCTTCGTGGATCAAGGGGCTTTGTCGCAGGAGCTGATCGAGTTCCCGCAGATCTAAATGATCCAATTCAGGATCGAGGACGGTTGGGACTTCTCCAAGCCTGCCGTGATCCGCGACTTCCCGAACAAGATCGACAACGACAAGCCCGACGATATCTTCTTCGTTCCCCCGTGCAAATACTGGTGCTCCTGGCAGCGGGTGAACGAGAAGATCTCTCATGAGCGCGCCAAGGAGATCAATGATGCCAAGGAGCGAGAAGAGCGGACGCTTCTCATGAAACCGACACTCGTATGTACAAGACCCGTGGCAAGGGCTACACTGGCGGACGAAGACACGGAAGAAATTGCCAGGATATCACTGCAGGCTCCCCCCTACCGCGCCTGACGCTCCCACCCTCTTGGGCCCTCGTTGCGCGTTTTTTTTCATGGACCCCCCGCCCTACAAAATCTGGCGCCAGCGCCCCCCCCCGCTGTGCCTGACATCCCCACCCTCCTGAACTTGCGCGCTTTTGCAGGGCCCCCCCACCCTGCAAAAACTGGCGCCGGCACCTCCACCGCGCCCCCCCACCGCGCCTGACATCCCCACCCTCCTGAACCCTCTGTGCGTGTTTTTTTCTGGGCCCCCACCCTACAAAAACTGGCGCAGGCACCCCCACCGCGCCCCCCCACCCCCACCCTCCTGGTGTGGTTTTCTTGGTCAGAGACCCCTCATCCTTCAAAAGCTGGCGCCGGTCCTCTCACCGCGCCCCCCCACGTCTGACACCGCCACCCTCCTAGACCCACAAAAATTTGCGCCGGCACCTCCACCGCGCCCCCCCACCACGTCTGACAACTCCACCCTCCTGGACCTTTTTGGTGCGGTTTTTCAAGCACTCCCCACCTTACAGTAACTGGCGCCAGCACCCCCACCGCGCCCCCCTACCCCGCCTGACATCCCCACCCTGCTGAACCCTCTTTTCGTGTTCTTTCAGGCACCCCCCACCCTGCAAAAACTAGCGCCAGCACCCCCACCGCCCCCCCCGCCACGTCTGACACCTCCACCCTCCTGAACCCTCTTTGTGCGTTTTTTTCTAGGCACCCCCCGCCCTGCAAAAACTGGCGCCGGCACCTCCACCGCGCCCCCCCGCCGCGCCTGACACCCCCACCCTCCTGGACCCTCCTTGCGCGTTTTTTCAGGGGCCCCCCACATTTCGAAAACTGGCGCCAGCACCCCCGCCGCGCCCCCCCACCGCGCCTGACACCCCTACCTTCCTGAACCCTCTTTGTATGGTTTTTCAAAAACCCCCCGCCCTACAAAAAAAAATGCCCACGCCCCCGCCGCGCTCTCCCACCGCGTCCGGCGCCCCATCCTCCTGAACCCTCTTTGCGCGCTTTTTCAAGGACCCCTCACCCTGCATAAACTGGCGCCGGCCCCCCCGCCGCGCCCCCACACTGCGCCTGACGCCCCCGCCCTCCTGATCCCTCTTTGCGTGCTTTTTCAGGAACCCCTCACCCTGCAAAAACTGGCGCCGGCGCACCCGCCGCGCCCCCCCCCGCCGCGTCTGACACCCCCACCCTCCCGAACCCTCTTTGCGCGCTTTTTCAAGCACCCCCCACCCTACAAAAACTGGCGCTGGCGCTCCCGCCGCGCCCCCCCCCCCCACCGCGTCTGACATCCCCGCCCTCCTGAACCCTCTCTGCGTTGTTTTGTTCAAGGGCCCCCCGCCCTGCAAAAACTGGCGCTGGCACACCCGCCGCGCTCCCACTGCGCCTGACATCCTCTGCCCTCCTGAACCCTCTTTGCGCGCTTTTTCAAAGGCTCCCCACCCTGCAAAAACTGGCGATTGCATCCCCGCCGCGCCCCCCCACCGCGCCCGACGCCCCCGCCCTCCTGGATTTCTTTGCGGTTTCTTCATGGACCCCCGCCCTGCGAAAACCGGCGCCGGCGCCCCCGCCGCGCGCCCCCCGCTGCGCGCGACGCCCCCGCCCTCCTGACCTTCTTTGCACGGTTTTTGTTCGGGGCCCCCCCGCCCTGCAAGAACTTGCGCCTGCGCCCCCGCCGCGCCCACCCTTGCGCCTGGCGCCCCCGCCCTCCTGAACCCTCCCTGCGCTCGTTTTTTCAAGCACCCCCCGCCCTGCAAAAACTGGCGCCGGCACCCCCGCCGCGCCCCCCCACCGCGCCTGACACCCCCATCCTCCTGAACCCTCTCTGCGCGCTTTTTCAAAGGCCCCCCCGCCCTGCAAACACTGGCGCTGGCACCCCCGCGGCGCGCCCCCACCGCACCTGACACCCACCCTCCTGGACCCTATTCGCGCGGGTTTTTCAAGCGCCGGCGCCCCCGCCGCGCGCCCGCGCCGCGCCTGACGCCCCCACCCTCCTGAAGCCTCTTTGCTCGCTTTTTCAAGACCCCCCGCATGGCACCCCCGCCGCGACCCCCCACCGCGCCCGACGCCCCCACCCTCCTGAACCCGCTTTGCGCGGTTTTTCCAAGGGCCCACCGCCGTGCAAAAACTGGCGCCGGCGCCCCCGCCGCGCCCCCTCCCGCCACGCCTGACACCCCCACCCTCCTGGACCCTTTGCGCTGTTTTTTTCAACGACCCCCCGCCCTAGAAAAACTTGCGCCTGCGCCCCCGCCGCGCCCCTCCACCGCGCCTGACACCCCCGCCCACCTCAACCCTCTTTGCGCGCTTTCTCAGAGACCCCTCACCCTGCAAAAACTGGCGCTGGCGAACCCGCCGCGCCCCCCCACCGCGCCCGACGTCCCCGCCCTCCTGGGCCCTCTTCGCGCGGTTGTTTTAAGCACCCCCCGCTCTACAAAGACTAGCGCCGGCGCCTCCGCGGCGCCCCCCCCCGCCGCGCCCGACGCCCCCGCCCCGCTTTGCAAAAACCAGCGCCGACGCGGGCGGAGCGGCGGCGAAACCTCGGCGGACCCCACCAGGGCACGAGCCGCGCGCGGGACGCCCACGCGCGGGCACGCAACGGCAAGGACGCTCGGCGCGGTCGGGCCGAAGCCAGCTGCGCAGCAGCTCGCTGCGCCGGGGCAGGCGGCCCCCTCGGGCCTGCGAGCCGCAGCCCGAGGCGCGCCCCAGACGTGCAAGACGATTCCCCCGACTTCTCGGCGGCCACACCCGCGCAAAGCACCCATAGATCCATGACTTTCATCGGAGTCGGCGGCAGGGGCGGCAGCCTTCAAGATCTGGCCGCCCCCGCCCTGTGGCGCGGGCCGTGCGAGACCTCTCTGACAGAGCGTTTGGTGCAGTCTTTGGCCCTCTTCGCCAGCGCCTGGTAAAAACCCCCCTGAAAGCCCCTCCGAGGGGGCCTCATTCTGCCGCCGACCCCCCCGACCTCAAGGTCTCAAACGGCGCGGGGACGACCCACGGGCGCCCCAAGCCGGTCCAGGAGAGTCCAGAGCAATCCACGAGAGCCCCCCAACGGTTCCAGATCGCTCCAGGAAGCCCAAAATGGACTCCAGAAAGGCCCAAGACGGCTTCAAGACGGCCCCGGAGGCCTCGAAGAGCACCCCCAAAAGAGCTCCAAAACGCAAACAAAAACATGTTGTTCATTGGTTCTTGTAAGATTTTCACGTTCTCGCCGCTTCGGCTCATCCGCGCTCCAAGACGGCCCAAGAAGCCCCCAAGATCGCCCCAGGACGGCCCAACAAGCCCCCAAGAGGGCTCCAAGACAGCGCAAGAGGGCCCCAAGACGGCCCAAGAGGCCACAAGGGGGCGCCCAGAAGGGGAACCCGAATGAACATTTCGAGCTTTCGGTCCCAAGAGGCCCCAAGAAAGCCCAGGAGGCCCCAAGAGGGCCCCAACAGGCTCTCAAGAAGCACCCAGGAGGCCCCCAGGAGGCCCCTAAACTCTCCCGCAGTGGCCCCCGAGAGCCCTCTCGAGAGACCCCAAGAAGCGCCCATGAGGACTCCGACCCACAACCCAAGCACGGTGGCGGGAGGGGCCGACGGCCATTTGATGGCTGGCATACGCGCCGCGCCACGACTTTCGATGCTGCGCACCACTTCGGCGAACTCCCATGGAGCGGCCAGCGATGCGCCGCCGACGTCCTCGATTTCGCCCGGCCCCCCCCCATGTCTCCACCGCGCCTCCACCGCGCCACCACCACGTTTGACGCCGCCACCCTCCAAGAAACTCTGCGCCTATAGAACCACCCACCCTGCAAAATTTCGTACGGGACCTTCCCCCCCGCCTCCGCCACGCCTCTACCGCGCCCCTACCACGTCTGACACCGCCAGCCTCCAGGAACCTCTGAACTTAGGTTCTTGGTCGCCGCCCCCCCTGCCAAATCTCTTCCGGAACCTCTCCCCCCTGCCTCCGCCGCGCCTCCACCACGCTCCCGCCGCGTCTGACGCCGCCAGCCCCCAGGAACCTCTGAGCCTAGGTTTTTGGAGGGCCCCCCCCTGTCAAATTTCGCCCAAGGCCCCCCCCTTTGCTTCCACCGCGCCTCCGCCGCGCCCCCGCCACGTCTGACCCTGGCAGCCTCCAAGAACCTCTGGGCCTAAGTTCTTGGGGGCGTCACCCACCCCACCAAATCTCGCCCGACACCCCATCCCTGCCTGCGCCGCGCTTCCACCGCGCCCCCGCCGCGTCTGACGCCGCCAGCCTCCAGTCACCTCTGAGCCGGGACACCCACCCCCTGCCTCGCCGCGCCTCCACCGCGCCGCCACCGCGACTGACACCGCCAGCCTCCAGGAACCTCTGAGCGCAGGTTCTCGGGGGCGCCGCCCACCCTGCAATATTTCGTCCGGGACCCCCCCCCTGCCTCCCCCACGCCTCCACCGCGCCCCCACCGCATCGGACGCCGCCAGCCTCCAGGAACCTCTGGGCCTAATGGAAAATATGTCGGGTGTGCGGGGGATGCCGGAATAAATTTCAGCCTGGCGGGGTGGTCTGCCGATGGGCTCGCATCTGGATGCCATTCCCAGGGAGGTGTCCAATTTTCCCGGTCAGTCACATCCACTCCGAGCAGCCTCATCTCAGACATGGCTGTCTGGTTTTGTTGCTGCATAAATCTCTGCTGCTCACGTGCAAACTGCCCGTGTCCAAACTGGTATGTTGTTGGGG